TATATATATATTTAATAATTTTACCATGTTTCTTCTGGTATTTAAAAATTCTAAGAAATTGTATCCAGGTTTAAATTGTATTTTGACTTTTAGACACCACCACTTATATAAACTATGTAATTTCAAAGGTATGTTATAATTACCAGAAATACATGTGACTGTAGTTGAATTTTGAGAGATTTTTATCATCTCAGGGTATGATACATACATTTTTCTTATAAAAATGTAATATTAAAATAATCTAATTTTTAAATAAATTTTTTTAGATAAGAGCTACAGTTTAAAAACAATGAAACAACTGTGTTTACGGATAAAGACCAAAAGAATGTAATCATTATTTTCCCGTTTTACTGAACTTTTAACTTCAACGTGCTCTATGATACACTTTGAAAGCTCTTTTTTTCTCTGTTTCTCTGAGATGTGCATGTCGATTTTGGTTGTGCTGACTGACAATACAAACTGTGGCCTCTTTCTCTGTCTGTCTTTTATTCTTTGTCCCTGTTGGTTGGTATTCATGTCCATGCACACACAGCCGCACAGAGGCTTTTCAGCTGTTCCAAATGTAGCTGTGGGACATTTCAGTGAAGAAGACCATCAGCTGTCTTGGCAGAGTCCGAGTTGCTGCTTTTCTGCTCATTTGACTTTCTGACTGCATGAAAGAGAATATCACTGTGTATTTTTGTAAACAACGACTGATAGTTAAACTTTCTATTGCTCTAAAGTTGTGACCAGTAATCATAAGTTATCATCATTCTTTGACTGTTGAGTCTGATAACCACAGTAGGTCTAAGAAATTACAATTATTTTGTGAAGTACATATAAAATAATTCATAAATGGAACAATGCCTTCATATCTGTGCAATTTCTATATAAAGCAGAATAAAGAATAGAATAAAAATAGAAAAAAAGAATCTAAAATAAAGAGGATTTATAGCAATTATATACATGTGATATGATGTTTAACATCTAATTAACCTTATGAAATTGTGATCAACCAATGCATGCATAATCATTTCATAATTTTATGATGCTTTTTACAATTCATTTGAATTTGTTCCAAATAAATAAACCAGAAAAATGCATGATAAAACATGGAAAAAGAGTTCTGTTACCTTCATACAAAATCACGCAAGTTGAAATCTGTTCATCTACTAAAATCTGAGTTTTAATCAAATTCAACCTTTTTAGAAGAAAACAGTGTCCAAAGTTAGAAGCATACACAATTGGCTCATGTCTGCAGTTACTGACAGTATTGTCAGTTTGGAATTGTGTCTGTATTGTGTAAAATGCTGTAAGCATTTCGGCTTCTTTCATAGAGGAAAGGAATGACATACTTTGACTTGGCTTGACGTGATTTTCCTCTAAAGCCATCTCCAGTGCGCGTGCACTAAGACTGCACTGGACAAGAGAAGAGCGCAGCGGGAGGCGCAGGCCAGACAGACACGCAGCTCATCCTGAGCTCTCCAGAACGAAGGGATGTTTACCATGAAGCCATCAAAAGGAAACGGGGAATAAACCCATCAGCTGGAATATATATTTTTC